CTTTTGTATCCCATTATTTTTTTCCGTTTTCCTCTCTAAAGGGTTAGCTCAAATGTTGCTTAAAAAAAGTTTTACTGACAAGTTTAGTGTTTTTCATGCATAGCTGAGGCTCATCAGGAAACACACACACACACACACACACACACACACACACACACACGCACACACACACACACACACACACTCACACACACACACACACACACGCACACACACACACACACACACACACTCACACACACACACACACTCACACACACATACACATACACACACGCGCGCACACACACACACACTCGACCCCTGCAACCTCAACTAGGTGAGTACATACACACATACACACACAAACACACACACACACACACACACTCGACCCTTGCAACCTCAACTAGGTGAGTACACACACACACACACACACACACACACACACACACACACACACACACACAACACACACACACACACACACACACACACACACACACACACACTCGACCCCTGCAACCTCAACTAGGTGAGTACACACACACACAAACAAACACTCTTGCGTCACCTTCACAACTTTATAACATAAAGAGGCCGGAGTTAAAACTTGCTTCTTCCAAAGAGCTGTTCTGAAAATGTTACGTCCGGCATTAGTCAAGTTTGTGTCGTGTCAGGCACTCCTGAGGTGACAGAAAATTAGGTCAGCCTTCTCGGATCAATTTGCTCTTGCTAGGTTATTGCAGAAATGAGGGTGGAGCACTAAACCCGTAGGGAATGTGAGACATTCGGGTTCGATTCAGTTATTATGGTTGCGTTCATTTAGTGGGAGCGTTAAACCGTAAGGGTCATACAGCGCATCCTCCCCCTTTAACTTGGGGTTTAAAGGGTGACATTCAGGTTAGATCTGTGCAAAGCAAAGTCAGGTCCAATTCCTTGCATCAAGAGCGGCCTCCACCCTCGAGGAGCGCATAGTCTAGTTCCACTGCACGAAATTAAACCAAATTTTCTCCACAAATATTTGCATAGGTCTGTTGTGCCAGGTCTGGGGAGAGTGTGGTCTGGGGAGAATGTGGTCTGCAGGGAGTATGGTCTGGTGAGAGTGTGGTCTGGAGAAAGTGTGGTCTGGAGAGAGTATGGTCTGGATGGAGTATGGTATGGAGAGAGTGTGGTCTGGAGGGAGTATGGTCTGGGAAGAGTTTGATCTGGAGAGAGTGTGGTCTGGAGTGTGGTCTGGAGGGAGTATGGTCTGGAGAGAGTGTGGTCTGGAGAGAGTGTGGTCTGGAGAGAGTGTGGTCTGCAGGGAGTAGGGTCTGGGGAGAATGTGGTCTGGGGAGAGTGTGGTCGACGGAAAGTGTGGGCTGAAGGGGGTATGGACTGGAAGGAGTATGGTCTGGGGAGAGTGTGGTCTGGAGAGAGTGTGGGCTGGAGGGAGTATTGGCTTGGGAGAGTGTGGTCTGGGGAGAGAGTGGTCTGGAGAAAGTGTGGCCTAGAGAGAGTGTGGGATGGAGGGAGTATGGTCTGCAGTGTGGTCTGGAGAGAGTGTGGTCTGGGGAGAGAGTGGTCTGGAGAAAGTGTGGCCTAGAGAGAGTGTGGGATGGAGGGAGTATGGTCTGCAGTGTGGTCTGGAGAGAGTGTGGTCTGGGGAGAGTGTGGTCTGGGGAAAGTGTGGTCTGGAGAGAGTATGCACTGGAGAGAGTATGGTCTGAGGAGAGTACGGTCTGGGGAGAGTGTGGTCTGGAGAGACTGTGGGCTGGAGGGAGTATGGTCTAGGGAGAGTGTGGTCTGGAGAGATCGTGGTCTGGAGAGAGTGTGGTTTGGGGAGAGTGTGATCTGGAGAGAGTGTGGTCTGGAGAAAGTGTGGTCTGGGGAGAGTGAGGTCTTGAGAGAGTGTGGTCTGGAGAGAGCGTAGTCTGGGGAGAGTGTGATCTGGGGAAAGTGTTGTCTGGGGAAAGTGTGGTCTAGGGAGGGTGTGGTCTTGGGAGAGTGTGGTTTGTGGAGAGTGTGGTCTGGGGAGAGTGTGGTCTACGGAAAGTGTGGGCTGGAGGGAGTATTGGCTGGAAGGAGTATGGTCTGGGAAGAGTGTGGTCTGGGGAGAGTGTGGTCTGGAGAGAGTGTGGTCTGAAGAGAGTGTGGTTTGGGAAGAGTGTGGTCCGGAGAGAGTGTGGTCTGTAGAGAGTGTGGTGTGGGGAGAGTGAGGTCTGGAGAGAGTGTGGTCTGGTGAGAGTGTGGTCTGGGGAGAGAGTGGGCTGGAGGGAGTATGGTCTGGGGAGAGTGGTCTTGGGAGCGTATGGTCTGGGGAGAGTGTGATCTGGTGAGAATGTGGTCTGGGGAGAGTGTGGTCTGGGGAGAGTGTAGTCTGGGGAGAGTGTGATCTGGAGAGAGTGTGGTCTGGGGAGAGTGTGGTCTGGAGAAAATGTGATCAGGAGAGAGTGTGGTGTGGGGAGAGTGTGGTGTGGGGAGAGTGTGGTGTGGGGAGAGTGTGGTCTGGGGAGAGTGTGGTTTGGGGAGAGTGTGGTCTGGGGAGAGTGTGTTCTGGACAGAGTGTGGTCTGGGGAGAGTGTGGTCTGGGGAGAGTGTGAGCTGGAGGGAGTATGGTCTGGGGAGAGTGTGGTCTGGAAAGAGTGTGGTGTGGAGAGAGTGTGGTCTGGAGAGAGTGTGGTCTGGAGAAAGAATGGTCTGAGGAGAGTATGGTCTGGGTACAGTGTGGTTTGGGAAGAATATGGTCTCGAGAGTGTGTGGTCTGGGCAGAGTGTGATCCGGAGAGAGTGTAGTCTGGAGAGTGTGGTCTGGAGAGAGTGTGGTCTGGAGAGTGTGGTCTGGGGAGAGTGTGATCTGGGGAGGGTTTGGTCTGGGGAGAGTGTGGGCTGGAGGGAGTATGGTCTGGGGAGAGTGGTCTGGGGAGCGTATGGTCTGGGGAGAGTGTGATCTGGTGAGAATGTGGTCTGGGGAGTATTGTCTGGGGAGAGTGTGGTCTGGGGAGAGTGTAGTTTGGGGAGAGTGTGATCTGGAGAGAGTGTGGTCTGGGGAGAGTGTGGTCTGGAGAGAATGTGATCTGGAGAGAGTGTGGTGTGGGGAGAGTGTGGTGTGGGGAGAGTGTGGTCTGGGGAGAGTGTGGTCTGGGGAGAGTGTGGTCTGAGGAGAGTGTGGTCAGGGGAGAGTGTGGTGTGGGGAGAGTGTGGTCTGGGGAGAGTGTGGTCTGGGGAGAGTGTGGTGTGGGGAGAATGTGGTGTGGGGAGATTGTGGTGTGGGGAGAGTGTTGTCTGGTTAGAGTGTGGTCTGGGGAGAGTGTGGTCTGGGGAGAGTGTTGTCTGGGGAGAGTGTGGTCTGGGGAGAGTGTGGTCTGGGGAGAGTGTGGTCTGGGGAGAGTGTGGTGTGGGGAGAGTGTAGTCTGGGGGAGAGTGTGGTGTGGGGAGAGTGTGGTGTGGGGGAAGTGTGGTGTGGGGAGAGTGTGGTGTGGGGAGAGTGTGGTGTAGGGAGAGTATGGTGTGGGGAGAGTGTGGTGTGGGGAGAGTGTGGCGTGGGGCGAATGTGGTGTGGGGAGAGTGTGTGTGGGGAGAGTGTGGTGTGGGGAGAGCGTGGTGTGAGGAGAGTGTGGTGTGGGGAGAATGTGTGTGTGGGGAGAGTGTGGTGTGGGGAGAGTGTGGTGTGGGGAGAGTATGGTGAGGGGAGAGTGTAGTGTGAGGAGAGTGTGGTGTGGGGAGAGTTTGGTGTGGGGAGAGTGTGGTGTGGGGAGAGTTTGATCTGGGGATAGTGTGGTGTGGGGAGAGTGTTGTGTAGGGAGAGTGTGGTGTGTGGAGAGTGTGGTGTGGGGAGAGTGTGGTGTGGGGAGAGTGTGGTATGGAGAGAGTGTGGTGTGGGGAGAGTGTGGTGTGGGGAGAGTGTGGTGTGAGGAGAGTGTGGTGTGGGGAGAGTGTGGTGTGGGGAGAGTGTGGTGTGGTGAGAGTGTGGTATAGGGAGAGTGTGGTGTGGGGGAGAGTGTGGTGTGGGGAGATTGTGGTATGGGGAGAGTGTGGTGTGGGGAGAGTGTGGTGTGGGGAGAGTGTTGTGTGGGGAGAGTGTGGTCTGAGGAGAGTGTGGTGTGGGGAGAGTGTGGTGTGGGGAGAGTGTGGTCTGGGGAGGGTTTGGTCTTGGGAGAGTGTAATCTGGGGAGAGTGTAGTCTGGGGAGAGTGTAATCTGTAGAGAGTGTGGTCTGGGGAGAGTGTGGTCTGGGGAGGGTGTGGTCTTGTTAGAGTGTAGTCTGGTTAGAGTGTGGTCTGGGGAGAGTGTGGTCTTGGGAGAGTGTGGTCTGGGGAGGGTGTGGTCTGGTTAGACTGTGGTCTGGTTAGAGTGAGGTCTGGGGAGAGTGTGGTCTGGGGAGAGTGTGGTCTGAGGAGAGTGTGGTGTGGGGAGAGTGTGGTGTGGGGAGAGTGTTGTGTGGGGAGAGTGTGGTGTGGGGAGAATGCTTTACGGTTAAGGCCATACATATTTTCTTTTTGTTTTGCGCTAATCATTGGGAAGCGCTAAACCCGTAAGGGTCATACAGCGCCTATGGAACAGGAGGAAATAAGGTTAGAGCATATATATATATATATATATTATATATATATATATAATATATATATATATATATATATATATATATATATATATATATATATATATATATATATATGCAAAACAACCACTCTGAAAAAGTAGAGAAATTCCAAGCGCTTTCGTGACTACTCACATTATCACATAGTTCCTTGATAATGTGAGTAGTCACGAATGCGCTTGGAATTTCTCTACTTTTTCAGAGTGGTTGTTTTGCATATTCCGAAATCACCTGTTTACTGTGATCTTATTGCATATATATATATATATATATATATATATATATATATATATATATATATATATATATATATATATATATATATATATATATATATATATACTGTACCTACATACATGCATACATACATATATTAGATAATTTTATAATAAAGTCTTGGAATTTTGGAATTTGATTGATCGTGAGTAATAAAACGACAAGCTACCGAAAAGTTGTAAAAAGATTTATTGAAGTGTTGTCAGGTGGGATGAGGTGTTGATGTGTGACGGAGTCAGGGTGAAGACTGCGCTCTGTAAGTGTTAACGGTTGAGCTTGTGGTTGATGATGCGCTGGGGGTTCATTCTCTGGGGGTCTGAGTAGTAGGTGCGCTTGTGGCGCTGAGAGTTGCTGAGGCGTTGGCTGGCACTGATGCCAGGAAGTGTCTTGTGGCACTGAGTGCACCTGTGATGCTAACTGGGAGAGGGTGAGACCACGGGGTAGTGTGGTGGCACACTGTTGGGAGGCAGTGCCTGTGTAAGCGTGGGTTGCAGGGCGTGGGACTGCCCCTGTGTGCTGTTGTGATAGAGCTGGCTGAGAAAGGAGTGCAAGTTGTGGAGTAGTGCCAGTGTGGTGGGATTTGAATGTGGATCTAGGCAGTGTAGCAGTGTGGGGCAGAGTGGCAGTGGACGACTGGATGGCAAGCAGAGTGTCAGTCTGGAGCTGAGAGTGAAGGTGTGTTGTGGAATGAGTCTGTGGCGTTAGGTGGACCAAAGTTGTGGGATGAGCTTGGGATGTAGACTGAACCTGGCATGACGGTTGGGCCTGATGAGTTTGATGAACCTGGGTTGTGGGGTGGATATAGGTTGTAGGGTGGATATGGGTTGTGGGGTGAACCTCGGGTGTGGATTGAACCTGGGGTGTGGAGTGAACCTGGGGCGTGGGGTAAACCTGGGGTATGGAATGAATATGGGTCATGGGATGAGTTTGTGTAAGTGAGTGTGACTGGGTAAAATGTTGAGCATGAGCCTCTGGAGAAAGCTCCAGGTCACCTGTCTGCGTCTCGGCATCGAGCGCTGTGTGGGTCTCTGCCTGCTGCTCTGAACTGCCTGACTCGAGCTCTGGCTGGGGTGACACCTGAGGTCTGGCTTGCGACAAAGCCTGTTGCAGAGGCTCACACCGCAGGGATAGCAAGGGAGGCGAGTCTTGCCCTTTGAGGTCCTCGCTTGTTAAGTTGATCCTCGGCAACCTGGAAGGCGAGTGTATTTCCACTCTTGGAGTGGTGATATCATCATCTTCCACTTCCAGTACATGTACTGGGTCTCCACTGACAGAGGGGGCTCTGCGGTGAAAGTCCCTGGGGGAACTGCCGCCGGGGGCGCTGAGGGTGGAAGCTCGTCTTGAAGATCTACCAGGGTTGAGCTGTGTCACTACCACAGGACCAGGTGAGAAGGTCGTCAGCAGCTCTGATGGAGGGAGAAGTAAGTTAATTAAGGGTGATGACTACTCGATTCATTAATTAAGGTCGCAATTACCTGTAGTTGGAAACCTCAAACAGTGAGTCTTGTGGTATCATATGAAGTTGCTATAATGCTTGTGAAAAACACGAAATCAAAGGCACAAGTGTTTGGGGAGGAAAAAAATTTCTAGAAAATTTGAAAGTGTCTCATTATCTCATCAAACAACTGCAAGAAGAGTAAATGAATTTAAAACTGAAAGATATAATGAAACACCGCAAATATTTTTTTAATGGATTTAGACGAGAGTAGAGACATCAATGACACAAATCAGTTGCTCATATTTACACGTACTGTGGATGAGGATTTCATGGTACATGAAGAACTAGTCAAGATACAACGCTTGAGTGGTGGTACAAGAGGCTCAGATATTTATGCTACTCTCAAGTCAATGAATACGAAGGATTTGAAATTTTTTCCTGTAGCAGCTGGTGCAAAAGTTATGACCGGCAGTAATGTGGGGTTAATTGGCTTGCTGAATTGAAAACAGAGTTGACTGTATAATATTACACTGCATTATCCACCGAGAAGCATTATGTGGCAAGGTATTACAGATGAGTGATGTCATGCAATGTTGTCAGCAGAGTGTGAAAATTTAATCAGAGGCAGTAATATGTCACAGAGAAATATAAACATCATATCTTTCCTTGAAGAACTGAATGCAGAATTCAGGGACCTACCCCTGCACTCAAGTATCAGATGGATGAGAGCTGGAAAAATGCTCCAGCATTTCTCTGCTTTTCGGAAAGATATCTTTTCACTGTTTCAAAATGAACAGCTGAGCAATGCACAGGTGTACCAAACTCAGCTGCAAGTGCTTTCTTTGCACCTTAGCATTCCTAACAGACACAAAAGCTCACTTGAATGTGCTGAATCTGAGCTTACGAGGCAAACAACAAAACATTTCTCAACTAGTTGGACACATTGAAGCTTTCCACAAGAAGCTCCAGTTATTCAGTGTGAGTTGAAGAAAGACTGATCTTGTACACTTTATTTCTCGTCGTGAACTTATGGTAGATGATACAGAGTCAGATTTTTATCTAGTGAGTTTGAAAAAAGATTTAGAGACTTTGAAGAACTGAAAACCAGTCTCCTTTTATTTAACACCCTCATGGGGGTTAATGTGAAAACACAATTACCAAAATTTCAGCTTAAACTGTGTGAACTACAGTCTGACCCGTTGTTGCTTGCAAAGAAAAATGGAAATCAGGAGAGTTTCTGGAAGTTAATCTTCAAGGATAAATTCCCCAAGCTGAGAGACTTTGCACTACAGCTGCACTCAATGTTTGGTCGTACACATGTATATGTGAATGTAAGTTTTCTACCATGAAACAAGTAAGAGCTAAAACTAGAAATTAGATGGGAAAAGAAACACTGGACAAGTGTCTTCGACTTGCCGCTACCAACATCGAAATCGACATGGAGACTCTGGTAAAAGAAATGTGTCGATCCTAGACATCTCATTAGTAGGTAAGAATATGAGTAGCATTATTTCTATATAAATTCAGAGTCTTTGAAAAAAATTGCTTTTTGTTTCTATACCTAGACTTTTTGTATCACTAAAAGATCATACAAAATTGTTTTTAATAATATGACAATAATTATAATAATAATAATAATAATAATAATAATAATAATAATAATAATAATAATAATAATAATAATAATAATAATAATAATAATAATTAAAGTTAATTGGGAATAAAAGTCAAAAATTTAATAATTTTTAACACTGCTTATTTTTGTCAGTTATGTTAAGGAAATTATTGAAGAGAATTAGTACAAAATACCAATATAAATGCAGTATAATACAGTCTTTTATTGACAACGTTTCGCCCACACAGTGGACCTTATCAGGTCATTGTACTGCATCCGTCTCTCTTGTAGTTTATGAGACATTATTATGTATACAATATAATAGGTTTATTTTATATTACTAATTGCATTCGTTACTCTTGAGAAAGATAATAATCTTCAGACGCTGTTCATGTAATTTTGTACAATAATTAAGAAGTAAAATTATACTTATTTTTTCCTTTCTCATTCTTCTAGTTCTAGGGAGTAAAATTATCGTTTTTTTTCTCTTAATTTTCTAGGGAGAGTAAAAAAAGAGAGAGAGGGTGAAACGGAAAGAAGGAAGGAAGCAATTGAAAATTGAAGAAAAATTCCCCTGATGTGTGTTGGTCTTGAAAGGGGTAGATAAAAATTCTCACTTACCCCTAGTGTGGACTTAAAAAATCTCTGTTTTTGTCTCTCTCTACTCTTTTTTTTTTAATACCAATTTTACAGGGTTAGGCTAAGGGTTTATGTAAGCTCTCTTTCTCAAACGGGACAACCATAGTAAGGTAGATGATGAAATTTTTAAACGTTCTTTAAAGTTTTGGGAAATTTACTCTCTCTCTCTCCCCCCCTCCCCCCCCCCCTTCCTCTCTTTCCTCTCTCTCTCCCTCATCCCCCCTCTCTCTCCTTTCTTTCTCTCTCTCCTCGGACTCCCCACAAAAGGATGGCTGGGGACGGGTACATAGCGCCCTGGGACGTTCCATAGAGAGCCCCGGGATCCCGCTTGTGTTGATGTGTCTTCCCCGGGGAGGAGAGGGGAAGAGGGGCGTCCCACGAGTGCCCTGCAGTCCAACCCCCTGCTACCCCCACACCACGCCCCAACACGCCCCCCCACCCCCCCGACACCACCCGTGACGGGGCCCCCCGCCCTCCCCCCGGGGGGGCCGGGGGGGGGCGCCTCTCCCCTTTGCTTGCTCACTGCTTAGGCAACAAATAACAATTTTGTAGCTGTTGATTTTTTGGAAAAACAACAATATGGCATTCAAGGTTGGTGAAAGTGCTTTTGGGTACCAGACTTATTTTAAAATATATGTACATGAAGGGTACACAATCGCGGATGAAGAATGTATGCACTCCCAAAATTTGTCTTTCCCATTACTTTTCCACTTCTTTCTTTCTTTTTTGCCCCGTCCCTCTCCCCCCCTCATATTTTAAATATTATTATATAATATATATATATATATTATATATATAATATAAGTTCTTCGATGGTGGGTACAACATCTAGCGGCGGGATATACCATTGTTAAGGATTTGGGTCAAAAGTGGTCTAAAAGGTCATGCGTTTTCTACCATGAGGGGGCCAAAAATAGCATGGGTTCGACCCCTTGGGCCCAGTGCAGGGGTTTTTTTTGATCAAATCACTCGTTTCGGGGTTTACAAAATATATATATATATAAATATTTTTATATATAAATAATATATATAAATATAATATATATATAATAATATATATATATGACCACTCAGTTTCTATTAAGTGATTGTAAATGGTCCAAGTCGGGCCAAAAGTCATCAAAGTTTCCCTTCCCCTATGTCCGTTTTTGGAATTTGCAGGGGTTTAAATTATTCACAAAAGTATAAAAAACCGACAAGTATTGAAATAAGCAAAAAGCGAAATGACTTCCTCATGTTAAACTAAAACGGAAAGGGTCCTTTGACCAAGGCAAAGGGCCTACCTTTTTAAGAAAACATGGGCTTATATAAATTTCAAGATAAGTCGTAATAAACGGCTATAAGTGAAGGGTGAAAATAGTGGACCGGACTGAACGGGGTCCTACTGTAGAGCCGAACGCTGTATCACTGACTATGGAAAAAAAATGAGCCTTTTAGTACGGGTTCGAATCGCCTTCCATTCTTTTTTACTTATGGCTTAGTCAAAAATTCACGTGAATAAAAGCCAGTGAACCTCACTTTTAAATTCCTTCCCGATTGTATTCCTGGGTCTCCTGAGGTATCCGGGATAAAACGCCCCCCCGGTCCGGTCCACGACTAGGCAGCGGGGGCCCTGGTCGTGGACCAGGGTCGACCAGCAATAAAAGCCGGGGTGACCAGCGCCTGATCAACCAGGATGTTACTGCGGCCGCACGTAGTTAAACTTACAAACCACACCCCGGCTGACCCGGCACCGCCAAGTATTGTCCACCTCCCTCTTGAAGGAAACCAGGGGTTTAATAATTTTTTTTATGCTGGTGGGGGAATGTTGAACACTTGGGCCCGGACACATATTTGTTTTCTCTTAGTGTACCAATGCGCCCCCCTTTTTTTTCTTGTTTAGTATAATAGCACTGTCTTTCATATTAGAATGTTCGTGCTTATTTTCACTGCTCGTGCATATTAACAATGCTCATGCTAAATTAACACTTCCAGGGATATTACACTGCTCATTATATTAGAACTGTTTTTGCTATATTTGCATGCCGTGCTATATTAACACTGCCATCATATTTAAAACGTCATGCTATATTAACACTGCTCACTATATTTAAAACGCTCTGCTAATTTTAAAATGCTCATGCTATATTAGCATGCTCTGTATATTAGAAGTGCTCATGGTATTTTAGCACTCTCTGCTTATTTAAAACTGCTTATGCTATATTAACACTGTCATGCTATATTAACACTGCTCATGCTTATTTAAAATGCTCATGCTATATAGCACTGCTCAGCATATTAAAAACTGCTCTGCTTTTTAAAACCCGTATGCATATTAACACTGCTCATGCTATATTAGCACTGCTCAGGCTTAATTAACACTGCCCTGTATATTAACCTGCTTGCTATATTAACATGCTCATGCAATATTAACACGCTCATGCTATATTACACTGCCATGCTATATTAACACTGTCATGCTATATTAGCACTGTCTTGAAAAACACTGCCATGCTATATTAACACGCTCAGCTATATTAACAAATGCTCATTTTATTTAAAATGCCATGCTATATTAACACGCTCATGCTATATTAACACGCTCAGCTTTAATTTAAAACCGCCCCATGATATTAACACTGCTCATGCTAATTAAACTGTTCATGCTATATTTAAAACGCTATGCTATATTAACATGCTCATTATTTACAGCTCAGCTATATTAAACCGCCACAATATTAACACTGCCATGCTTTTTAAAAACTGCCCCTGCTATATTAACATGCTCATGCTAATTAGCCTGCTCATGCTAATTAACACTGCCATGCTATATTAACACTGCTAGCTAATTAACACTCTCATGCTATATTAACACTGTCATGCTATATTAACACTGCTCATGCTAATTTAAACTGCCATGTTTTTTAGCATGCTCATGCTATATTAAAACTGCTCATGCTATTTAGCACTCTCGCTATATTTGAAGTTTCCATGGGATTTTACACGCTCATGCTAATTAAAATGCTCATCTATTTAACACTGCTCTGCTTATTAACACTGCTCATGCTATATTTAACCGCTCATGTTTTTTAGCACTGCCATGCATATTAACACTGCTCATGCTATATTAAAACGCTCATGCTATATTAACACTGCTCATTTTATTTAACATGCTCTGCTTATTAACATGTCATGCATATTAACACTGCTCTGCTATTTATCCTTCGTATTTTGAAGGTTCTCAACCAAAATTCAATGAACTAATTTTAAATTATTGTATTTTGTGTTTTTTTTTAAATACTTCCTCTGCAAAATTAGATTTTTCACGGGCCCGACTCCCCTTGACACTTGATTTGTTTGACAAAGAGTATCACGTTAATGTATACCTCTTTATTTTACATTCTTTTAAAAATTCTGAAAATTTTTTTTATTACATATTTCCGATTTAGAGCTGTTTGAAACTTTTTTGATGTATCTCATATTTTAGCTTTAATTTACCCCAGCTATCTCTCCACCTTTAAAAAATGCCACAGTGAAAAATTTTTTCCATTTAAAAACACATAAACCCCCACACACACACACACACAACCAACCCCAACACACCACACACACACAATCAAGAGATGGGGGACAATTGCCCGCGATCTAAAAGACGCGAAAGTTGTTCAGCATTATATTATTCCTACTCAGAAGGATGGCGCAAACGAGTTTTTCGCGACTGGACGGGCGTCGTAATACAAGTTTTACTACAAAAAACAGTGTCCCTCTTCCCAAATATATACCCAAAAAAGCAAAAACCTCCAGACTTTTTTAAATTTTGAAAGACCTTTGTGACTTTCCCCCCACCACACACCTGAAAATACAAAAAAATTTTTACGTTTTTTTGGTTTTTCTTTCCCCCTTTCCCAAAAAAATTCCATTTTTTCCCCCATAATTGGATTTTTTTTTTCTAACCTTATTAATTTCGAAAAATATCTACACTTTTTGAGAATAAAGCACTCACATTAACGGAGACTCTCCAGGAGCGACCCGTCAGCCCTTTGGAGTTGGCTTCTGAGTAAGGGGGTGCTGACCACCTTTTGGCGTGGCTGGGAACATTGAAACACGTAGTCTCTCCCCCGGGGGGCCCGCGAGGTGTTGAACCTTGGGTTCTGTGTTGTTGTAGGTGCTACCACCCTCCCAACCTTTACGCCCCTGTAAACCTTAGTTAGTGCTTGTGACACCTTAACACTTGCAGTGTGTGACACCTCTGTTAACTAAAGGTAACAAAAACAAGAACTACAAGTGCCTGTGGCCCCGTATACTGGGTTTTGTTATCGTAGTTAATAGTCTGTGGCACCTGTAGTTAAAAGTAGTTGGGACGACTAAAAGGTCTCTGGGACCTGGGTTATACGTCTCACTATAGTAACGTCATGACATCTGGTTTTTGCCTTTAAATAGGGTTTCCCACCCCTTTAAAGCCTTTTTATTTTTGTTACCGCCTTACCAACGCCCCTTTCTTTGTCAGTATTACTAAAAAATATAAAAAAAAATTTTCCTAAATTGAAACTAATTAATGTATATTTATTTTCAAACTTTTCCATTTATTTCATGTCATATTTAAAGCTTAGAGGAAAATTTTATATATTTTCTACAAGAAATTACATGTTTTATCTTTGTGTGTGTGTGTGTGTGTGTGTGTGTGTGTGTGTGTGTGTGGTGTGTGTGTGTGTGTGTGTGTGTGTGTGTGTGTGTGTGTGTGTGTTTTTGAGTGTGTTTGCGTGCATCTTACCTCAATATGGAATATCTCAGGCAGCTGACTGGAGGTTGGTCCTGGAGAGCAGGTGACAGCTGCTGAGTCCGTCGTTACGTCATGATAGTAACAACCAATCAGCGTGCTCGGCGGCTCTAAGAAAAAAACAATAAAAATGAAGTGACAATAGTCTTGACAAAATTTTTTTTTAAGCTTTAGAGAAACGAAATTTAGTTGTGTGTTCTTTTGTTTTCATCTGTGAATGAGTGTAAAATTTTTCTCACTTCACTACGTCAATTTTATAACGCTTTTAGCAAATATTGAATAATAATCCTAATCCTAATCCTAATAATAATAATAATAATAATAATAATAATAATAATAATAATAATAATAAATAACAAATAATAATATTATTATTAATAATAATAATAACAAATAATAATAATAATAATAATAATAATAATAATAATAATAATAATAATAATAATAATAACAATAATAATAATAATAATAATAATAATAATAATAATAATAATAATAATAATAATAATAACAAAAATAAATAATAATAATAATAATAATATAATAATTATAATAATAATAATAATAATAATAATAATAATAATAATAATAATCATAATCAAGGAGATAAATTGACTCACCTACGAGCAGAATGGTGAAGACACAGGGACGGTCAGCTGATCCAACTTCATTGCTGGGCTGACATTCTGCTCTCTGAGCCCCACTGCTGACGTTGTCAGCCTTCATCCAGCCAGAGGACGTCAGTCCTGTGTCATGATGCTGCAGTGACGTCCGTACCTGCGGTGGGTGACAGTACAGTTGAGTGATACAGTATTTGATACTTCGAGGGTGAAAGACGCGGTACAGCTTCTGATATACGGTGCTTCATCTGTGATGGATTGATGATATACGTTGCACACAACCTCTAAGGTGATGAATGATGAGTGTGATGACTCAGTGGTACAGGTCACACCATGCAGCTTCTGAGATGATGAGACACATGATGATGAGTTTGTGATAGATGATTGGTAGGGTTAACTTTAGTGTGATCCCGAACCTGCCTTGCTACCTCAGGTTAATGGCGTCTCTACCTGTGGTGGTTAAAGATGCACTTGTGTAGGTCAGTGACACCTTACCTGGGTTGAGTGAAGATGCACTTGTGTAGGTCAGTGACGCCTTACCTGGGTTGGGTGAAGATGCACTTGTGTAGGTCAGTGACACCTTACCTGGGTTGAGTGAAGATACAATTGCGTAGGTGAGTGGCACTCTACCTGTGTTGAACTTCAAGTAGATTGAATTGAGTTAAGTACGACTGTACATTCAGTTGCTCACTTTACCAAACATTTCTGAGGTTCAGTTGCGGTTGTCATATATGGATGTGCATTGATGCTGTTGTAAATAAATGGTTCAGAGAACCGACAGGATGTGATCAGTCCATCAGGAGTGATGGACTGATTGCATCGCCTCCAGGCTGAGGGACTAATTACCTCAAACTCCTTCTGATCTTCATCCATTCTTCTCTGTATTGGACTGAGGAAGCCACTGGTTGGCGAAACGTTTCCGCAATAAAGACACCCAAGTGTTGCACAAGTATCTAATTCCTCATTGATACTAGCGAAATGTTCACGATCAACAGAATTTGAGTTACTCTCCCGTTCCTTTAACCAAACCTGACGACTTAAAACTCCCCAAGTGCTGTACAACCCATACAGATTTAGTTCTTTCCATGAATACAGTACTCACTGTGGTTCGTTCTAACCACAGACCAGTGAGCTCACCCAAAGCGTCTGCAGTGTGCATTTATCCGTCCAAGAAAAGTTACACCATCTCTACCTCAGTGAAGGATTAATAGCTAGAAAAAAAGTGGTTTTGCGTTCAGAATGGAGCGAGGAAAGTTTTGATTACTGCCTCGGGTACTGGACGAGGCTAACCTTACTTCTTATTAGGGGGTCAGAGTTCAAATGTGTTTCCTCCAAGATTTTGCAAAAGTCTGCAACACTCTTCGACGGCGGCAGCTTTTGTTTCATCCATTTTCATTCCTCCTTCGGTACAAGTTTTTTTTTTTTAACCATCTGGGTCATATTCTCTAATATTCCAATGATTTCCCCATTTCACAATCCACCTCACCTCTTCACTGCAGGTAACAATTGTTCACCATCGTTTCTGTTGTTTTTCCCCACTCAACTCCTTCCCATTACCCACATTCTCTCCCTCCCATCACATTCTTTTCCTCCCCTCCTAACCACATAAATTCCTTAACCATCCCGATAGAGTCAAGAGAATTACCAAGTAATAGTAACTCCAGCTCTGCTGGAACGAACCTCTGAACCTCCCGTAGCTGATGAAGTCATAGGGAAATGCTTAACGAACGTAAGGTTAGTCTTTCAGCTCAAACTGACAGACTTTAATTGCCTCATCAATGCAGTTCAATCTACATGATGGGATGCGACCGCGGAACGTAGCTAGTTTTAGCTCCCACAATGTAACTATCACATAGAATAAGTTAGCTACACACTGCTGATATAACCAAAGTACTGAGTGGATATAACTACTGCACAAATAACCGCACAAAAGAGAAAGAAATTTATAACTACATTTCGGTCCTGTTTGGACAATTAATGATCCAAGTCGGTCAGAGACGTCGTCATAAGTTTCTTCCTCATATGTGCGGGTTATATGTGTATTGTTCCAGTCACGGTATTGTGTCTTTTTGTTAACCATATATAACTAACTTTTGTATCAGTATCGATAATTAATTCTTCACAGTCTTCTATCTCCTCCCCTACCTGTGCGGGAGCAACTCAGCGCGCTCGAACTAAATATCACACTGCCAATAAAAGTGAAGGAAAGACACACTGAAGATAAAGCTTTTATTGAAACATTTCGCTCTTTGTAGAACTTGAGCAAGCCGGATGACTTGATGGTCTGCACAGAACGAAACATTGTCGAAGTAAATGCTGCTAGGTGTGGTTTTTGGGTCGCTTAGAGATCAATAACCACAGCCAGCCATTCCTTATGCATTGCAAGACCCATGGGATTTAGCGCTTCTCTATGATGATAATGATAATGATGCTAATAATAATAATAATAATAATAATAATAATAATAATTAATCAGCATTTAGCAAGTATCTAGCACTACCATCTCCACTATCCCTCCCTCCCTCCCTCCCACCTTCTCTTCTCCGGTCGTAAGCCTCAGCTGACGCAGCTGCCGGGGATGCTAATAATTCCCCTGATTCAAGGTGTTGGAGATGGTGAATCATCTGATTCATGCTGTGGGAGACACAGATAATGATGAGGATGATGAAGATAATGATGATGACTTGTTGGAGTCATGCTGTTGGTGATAACAATGACTCATCTGGGTTCATGTCGTAGATGATGACTAATCTGATTAATAATGTTGGAGACGATGATGATGACTCACCTGATTCACACTGTTGGAAACGATGACTCACCTGATTCATGCTATTGGAGACGATAACGATGATTCACCTGATTCACCTGATTCACGCTACTGGAGACGATAACGAGGACTCGCCTGATTCATGCTGCTGGAGACGATGACTCACCTGATTCATACTGTTGGAGACAATGACTCACCTGACTCATACTGTTGGAGACGATGACCCACCTGATTCATATTGTTGGAGATGAGGATGACTCGCCTGATTCATACTGTTGGAGACGATGACTCACCTGATTCATACTGTTGGAGATGATGACTCACCTGATTCATACTGTTGGAGACGATGACTCACCTGATTCATACTGTTGGAGACAATCATGATGACTAACCTGATTCATACTGTTGGAGACAATCATGATGACTTACCTGATTCATACTGTTGGAGACAATCATGATGACTTACCTGATTCATACTATTGGAGACGATGAGACTCTCCCAGGTGTAGGAGACCTGTGGTGGAGACGCCCTCACACGACACTCCATCTCCACCTTCTCCCCCACCACCGCCAGCACCTCCCTCGCTCCCTCCCACTCACACACCGGCGCATCTGACCAAGCAAAGAAAAGGAGGATTGGGAAGCAGCAGAACAAGGATTGGGAAGCAGTAGAACAAAGATTGGGAAGCAGCAGAACAAGGATTGGGAAGCAGCAGAACAAGGATTGGGAAGCAGCAGAACAAGGATTGGGGAAGCAACAGAACAAAGATTGGGAAGCAGCAGAACAAGGATTGGGAAGCAGCAGAGCAAGGATTGGGAAGCAGCAGAACAAGGATTGGGAAGCAGCAGAACAAGGATTGAGAAGCAGCAGAACAAGGATTGTGGAAGCAGCAGAACAAGGATTAGGGAAGCAGCAGAACAAGGATTGGGAAGCAGTAGAACAAGGATTGGGAAGCAGCAGAACAAGGATTGGGGAAGCAGCAGAACAAGGATTGGGAAAGCAGCAGAACAAGGATTGGGATGCAGCAGAACAAGGATTGGGAAGTAGTAGGAAGATTAGGAAGCAAGATGAATAGAAAGAAGCAAAGGAAGGATTAAGAAACAGCAGAAAAAGGATTGGGAAGCAGCAGGGCAAGGATTGAGAGGTAAGAGTATTAGGAATCAGGAGGACGATTAGGAATCAGGAGGAAGATTAGGAAGCAGGAGGAGGATTAGGAAGCATAAAGATTTGGAACCAGATGAATGATTAGAAAGAGGGAGGAGGATTAGGAAGCAGGAGGGAGATTAGGAAGGAGGAGAAAGATTAGGGGACAAGAGGAGGATTATGAAGTAGGATGAGAATTAAGAAACAGGGAGAGAATTAGGAGGAAAATTGGAAAGTAAGGGAGGAAAATAAAGAGGAGAAGAATAAAGAGGAATAAGAAGCAGGAAAATGAGGAGGATTTGAAAGTAGGAGAATAAGAAAGATTGGAAAGCAGAAGAATAAGAAGGATGAGGAAGAAGAATAGGGAGGATTAAGAATCAGAATAAAGAGGATTGAGAAAGAGGAGAATAATCATTGGGAAGCAGGGAAATAAAGAGGATTGGGAAGCAGGAAAATAAGGAGGATTGAGAAGCAGGAAAATAAGGAGGATTGGGAAGCAGGAAAATAAGGAGGATTGGGAAGCAGGAAAATAAGGAGGATTGGGAAGCAGGAAAATAAGGAGGATTGGGAAGCAGGAAAATAAGGAGGATTGGGAAGCAGGAAAATAAGGAGGATTGGGAAGCAGGAAAATAAGGAGGATTGGGAAGCAGGAGAATAAAGAACATGAGGATTGTGAACCACCATAGAATTCTTAGTACATCTAACCCCTCAAGGAAGGTTCCTTGATGTTGGTGAGGGGCTCTTGATTTAGGGAATTGGATCTGTGCTCCAGTTCCCCGAATTAAGCCTGAATGCCTTCCACATCCCCCCCAGGCGCTGTATAATCCTCCGTGTTTAGCGCTTCCCCCTTGATTATAATAATAATAATTAGTACATCTAAGTCTTTACACTACAAAACCATAGAATCAGTGAAGTCACTTGAATGAACTTCTGTCCATAAATAAACAGAAAAATGGGCGATAGGATCGAACCGAGGTCATGCAAGCAGCAGGACCTACGCTATACCACTCAGCCACTGGGACTTTAGTCAGGAGAGTTTTAAAACAGCCTCTGTTTGTGACACAGTGTACCAGCAGCCATGAACTACTATTTATAAGTCGTGGGTTCGATTCCCTGGACATTTATGGGGATATACTTGGGAAGCCTTGTGTTTCCACTTTAAATGGATTCAGTAACTAAATGGCTTGCTTTGAAAGGTAAGGAATCAGATGCATCATGAAAGATATGGTTGTTATACGAAGGGACGGTAGTGTTGCAGTTCGTGGTAGCTGGTACACCTTGTCGTAGACAGCGGCTGTTGTGGAACTCTCCCATTGAAAAAAAAATCACTGTGGCTGTTAGGCATATCATAACATCATAATCAAAATTTGAAAAATATGAAAATCTACAAATAAAGATGAAAATAATGCTATAATTCTAATGTGGTAGACGCAAGGTGCATTTAACGGATGATGTAAAAACAGTTCAAGGATGATAACGTAGATTAACGTCAACATAAATGACGTAAATTACGTGTATCTTCGTCACTGTGAATGACGTGTAGGTGATGTCATGATGCATGACGTGTGTCTACTTTCCCGTTAATGACGTGTATGTTTACAGTTTATGACGACATGACGTATATCTACGTCATTGGTATAAACCTTGGTAATAAATACCGACAAGTTGTGATGAATGGTTTGAAAAACCGACAAGTTGGTTTAGAAAGACACGTAAGCAAACACTATAACGTATTTATTAGAAAACGTTTCGGTCCTGGGACCTTGATCACTTCTAACATACAGAGGTAGAAAGACATTATATATATAGGCAGAGAGTGAGATGTGACGCACGTGACCTGAGGAATGTCATAAGAACATAAGAATGGAGGAACACTGTAGAAGGCCTACTGGCCCATGCGAGGCAGGTCCTTATCAAAACAACCTCTACCTATGATGAGGACGGGTAGACGATGAAATCATGTGACTCCTGTGTTGTTGGGTTGGTGCTGCAGAAGTATCATGTATGCCAATGTTTTTGAAATTTTGTAGTTTCCAGTGTTGCGTTCTATAGTGTCGGTGACGGCGATTAGTGAGGCTTCTAGGCACCGTCGGCGTTTGAGGTCTGGTTCGGTGAGAACGAGTTGTGCCTCATTCCAGTTCATCAAATGTCCCGTGGAGTCTCTGTGGAGGACACATGCGTACCTTACATCGTCTCTGCTAGAGGCATTTCGATGCTCATTCACGCGGACTGCAAGATCTCTGCCTGTCTCGCCTACATATGCCTGTCTCGCCTACATATGCCTGTCTCGCCTACATTCCACACAGGAGAGCACAGCACTAGCACGATCGACACCATGCATTGCCCTTCTAGGGCATGGTTGGTGCCAGAGCCCGAGTTTGTACCTTACAAGATTAGGGGGGTACTTGTGCCTCCTCCCATAGGAGACTTAGGTCTCAGACACTCCCTAGACAGGGAGCCAGTGCCGGGCCACCACTTGGAAGGGCCCGGGCCGGGAAAATACCGGCGAATCTTTAACAACAACAACAACCTCTGTATGTTAGAAGTGATCAAGGTCCCAGGACCGAAACGTTTTCTGATAAATATGTTATAGTGTTTGCTTACGTGTCTTTCTAAAACATCTACGTCATTGTATTATACTTCATATGGAAATTTGTATTAACATTGGTATTATAATTATTATTAATTTTATTATTAAAATTATTATTATTTACATAAATTTCTTATAATTATTTTTAAAAGAAGAAGAAGAATAAAAAGAAGTAGAAGGAAATAAAAGAAAAAAAGAAAAAGAAAATGAGAAACAGGATAAAGAAACAAGGAAAAAAAACGGAGAGCCAAGAGTAGTAGATGTTGAATATGGAAATGAAGGAGACGTCAAAAATGCACCATAATCGTAACTCTGAGGACCGGAATAAGGTCACCTGATTTACTGACCTTTCCCTTTAAAAAATATTCAAGGAGAAAGATTCGTTTATCATAGATGAAAAGGAATCGTTAGGAGAATGGGAAATAATTTTCCTGGGGGGGGGGGGGTGAGTGAATCTCTGACTAAATTGAAGATGTAAAGTAAAAGGACACAAGTGCAACTAATGTGACATTTATTGTGGCAACGTTTCGCTCTCCAGGAGCTTTATCATGGCTTGATAAAGCTCCTGGAGAGCGAAACGTTGCCACAATAAATGTCACATTAGTTGCACTTGTGTCCTTTTACTTTACATATTGTCGGTAATTCTACCAACTTTATCATAAATTGAAGATGTTGATTATGTGTTTGTGTGTGTGTAGTCGGGATGCAGTTCCTGGGCTAGTCTTAAGTTTTGATCAACTGACATAATCAAGGTCATAAATAACCCGCACGTAGGAGAAAGAAGCTTATGACGACATTTCTGAACAGAAACGTCGTTACAAGCTTCTCTCTCTTACCTGCGGGTTATTTGTGTATTGTTCCAGTCACAGTATTGTGCCTCTTTGTTCTTTATAAATAAGGTATATCCTATCTGTTATTTTTAATGCAAGTATGAGACCCATACAACTTCTGGATAACTTCATTTACATATGAATTTTAAAACTTTTCTAGTGTCTATCCGACTCATCTGAGTATTCAGCCGTTGTGTTAAACAGTGTGTTAAACAGTGTGTTAAACAGTGTGTTAAACAGGAGAGCCACGCTTCTCTCGCAGTCTGTTTTCCCTTTATCGAGCAAAATATTTTTGAAGACTCCTAATTTCAGTTTTGTGAAGGAGTTCTTGAATAAGCTAGTTGTTCATGTGTCGCTAACGGCCCTGTGTTTACGTCGGGGAAGACGCTGTTCACTTTGCTTACTCCTACGTCAGCAACGCCCAACTTGGAACCTACAGGTCGCTGCTGATTTTATTTTTTAAGCAATTTTTTTCCCCTCATTAGCTGACACGCATGAACTGCTAGGACAATACTTTCAATGACTTAATCAAAAGAACATAAGAACATAAGAAAGGAGCATCACTGCAGCAGGCCTGTTGGCCCATACTAGGCAGGTCCTTTACAATCCATCCCACTAACAAAACATTTGTCCAACCTACTTTAAAATACTACCCAAAAAATAAGCTCTGATAACTCTATCCACTCAAATCCAACCCCTCTCACTCATATATTTATCCAACCTAAATTTGAAACTATCCAATGTCCTAGCCTCAATAACCCAACTAGGTAGACTGTTCCACTCATCAACTACCCTATTTCCAAACCAATACTTTCCTATGTCCTTTCTAAATCTAAACTTGTCTAATTTAAATCTGATGACTCGTTAGTACTAGACTCGAAACTGCCCAATTTTGCACAAATGCAGTTGATTAATGCTTTCTTGAACTTTATCACTGCTAAAGAAAGCATATATTTTAGTAACATATTTGCTAAAGAAAGCATATATTTTAGTAACATATTTGCTAAAGAAAGCATATATTTTAGTAACATATTTGCTAAAGAAAGCA